TTTGTATTCTTGTAATGGGCTTTTGAATGTAACAGATTATAGCACTTGAACAAGATATGTTTTTGTCAAGTGGATCAATTTATGGGTAATAAGTATTTATTAAATGATTTCGGATACAAATATAATTTCATGACTGTAGCTTGTTAAATATGAATTTGATTTGTGTGACAGTTAGGCAGAGGTTTATTTTTTTTTCATCAAACTATAATTCGCGACATTAAGGCGTATAAATAGATTATTCATGAGTTAGGTATAGTTAGGCATATTAGGTTCTAAGGTATTATAGATGTCAATGTTGTCTGAATCGGTAGATCAAGTTAACAAAAAAAAAAAACAGAAAAAACATATTGTACCGAGAACTAACACTGTTTATTCGACTAAATACTGAATATTGTTTATTCCTAACAATGTAAATGTTTTAATAGCAACTTTTATGTAGCAGCGTAACAAAAACGTAGTATTTGAAAATAGTCTTTGTTGTACACTTGTTACTGAAATCAGTTTTCATGATTAAGCTATATATAAAGTAAATGCAATTCGCGAAATCTAATAAATTTAATGAGATCATCGTAAACGCACCTTGCGATAAGTCATAAATAGTTTGTTAACATAAATATCGCAAATAAGTTCAATCATGTGTGATTACATAAAATGAATTACGTTCATTTGGAATTATGTAGTCACTTTATTTGGATAACATTAATACCATGGTAGCGTTTTTATGTAACTAGTCACAAGTTTCCTTATAAGTAAATAATGTCGCAGCCAAGGCAAAATTGTAATATAATTAATGCTAACATTAATTCGTATTATAAAATAGGAAATAAGTTTTAGGAAATGCGTGTAGCAATGGCAATATCACTATAAAAGTTTCAGTCAGTTTTTGGCTGTATTAACTATTACTAGAGGTCCCACAGTAGTCGAAATTCGACTATAATTAATTGGAATTGTAAGTTTGTACACTATTATGGTTATATTTTATACTTCTATAATCACAAATTTTGCCAAGATTATACTATAAAAAATATTAACAAAGACAAACAATATTTAATCTATTCTCAATTTGACAACAGACGTCAAGAACAAAAAATTGACAATAAATAGTATGCATGCGTGTGTGCGTCAAATACATGGTATGTAGTGTGTGTAATGTTTTCTTTATTGATTTAATGTATATTTTATGCATTATTTAGAAAAAATATTAGCATTGTGCACTTATTCTCTATATTCTCTTTATAGAGAACCACTTATGTGTGGAAAATTTCATACTCCTCCGTCCGCGCAATTTTCGTAAAAAGGGATACAAAGGTTTATGAGCTTCGGTAACCGCTTAAAATCAAGTAGGCCGAGAACTCGTTCAGCCATCTTACTGCAAAAAGAATGCTTAATTTCATTGATAATTTGAAATTATAAGTTTGTATATACACTATTATGATTCTACGAGTATTGTCTAAGACTTCTACTTCAAAGAATTCTATTTCTTCACAGATTTCACTAAGACTGCACTTAAGACATATATTAACAAAGACAAACAATATTTAATCTATTCTGAATTTGACCACAGACTATAAGCAATAAGAAAAGTTTGACATTAAACAAATATGTAGTGTGTATGCGCATAGATTATACACTTAATATGCGCGTGTGTGTGTCAAATACATGGTAGTGTGTAATGTTGTCTTTATTGTTTTAATGTATTATTTATGCATAATTTAAAAAAAAAATTAGCATTCTGCATCCTTCTCTATATTCTCTATAAGCGTGGGAAATTTCATACTCTTCTGTCCGCGCAATTTTCGTAAAAAGGGGTACAAAGTTTTTGCTTCACGTATTAATATAATAGATTCTCGTTACTATTCGATCTCTCACTTTCTCATTGCAAACTCTGTTATTGTCAAATAAACATTGGAAATCCCACACAGTAAAATGATCTTAGTTTTGTAAAGTTTAAGGTTGAACCTCGAACGCCCACACGAGATCAGCCGGCACTTTTATGGGCAGGACAATTCAAAAGGCCGATGATTCAGAAGTTTCCTTGCAAGGTAGCAACGCTAGATTTAGTTACTCGGTCACTTTCAATTTTATAATGGAACAGTTAAGCTTTTTGTCGTTTGATTGATCGTAATAAGGAGTGTGGGCATTTGAATGACATATGTTCCTATGCAACATGAAAAATGAGAAGTTTTTTTATAAGAGTTTTTACCACTTATTCTTCTTGCATTTCATAAAATAAGTAATTTCAGCAAATTAAAATTATTATTTTTTTAGTAGAATGCTTTTAGTGATATTTTTTTTCTACTGCTAACTCAGAATGCAGGTTGCTAGTTGTAGCAAAAAAATTGTTTAATCTTTATACGATGGGTAATGTTTATTTTTATTAGAATCTGTTCGTATTCTAATTTGTTTTTTATTTCATTTTAATTATAATTTTAAATATATATAAAAATGAATTGCTGTTCGTTAGTCTCGCTAAAACTCGAGAACGGCTGGACCGCTTTGGCTAATTTTGGTCTTGAATTATTTGTGGAAGTCCAGAGAAGGTTTAAAAGGTAAATATTATATGAAAATGCTCGGAATTAAATAAAAATAACATTTTTGTTTTCGTTTGATGTGTCCCCCGTCGGACGGATTCTTTTTGTTTGTTTTAAGTTTATTTTATACAAAAGCTTAGGTCTTTTATTTATCGATTGAGCCGCTATGAAGTCTGCCGGGTCAGCTAGTTTTAAATAAAATCATCTAATCTTAAAAGGTAATCTAATCCTAATCTGATTCTAGCAAAAACATTAAGTTGATCTGATCACATAATATACGAGTGAAATTATAATATTATTATAAAGTTTTAGACTATGATTATATACACATTTGATTATGTACGTGTATACTATAATCAAAGGTTTTAGAATAAATTTTAAACTGCAAATTTTTATTTAAAAACATATCTAGACTAGATTAAGTTCTATTAAACTTCGAACACCATCTAAAGAAAGTAATCAGTTTTATGAATCTTGATTTTTCGTGATTTTCTTGATGGCGATTTTTTTTTTGTTCTCGATTTAAAATTCATTCGAACAACAATTGAGTAGACAGCTCGACTATGCACATAACGAGTGACAATCGATACCGTCGCAAGAAACACGAGAACATCCCGCAAACAATGTTCTATTTACACTGAAACCAATTTGCCCTTGTCGTCTTAATGTCATAAGAGACTAATAACGCCTTTATTTTTTATGTTGTAAAGTATTTTATAAATGATTCATTATGTGTCTTCAACAGCTGTTCTTGCTGTATTCAGTCTGAGTTATGTAAACTTTGTGCTCTTTTTTTCCACATAATGTACAATTTGGAGTGGCTCGGTAACGTTTACCAGGCAACTGTACAATATAAAGCCGTTTATCTTAAGAGCTCTCCTAGTTCGACAAAGCGGTGCGATAAACCTCTTATCATGGTCACCACTAATTACATATCCGACCCAGGCGACGGGGCAACGCAAAGCCGCTATCGCCCGAAACATGTCTTGTCGGATCCCCCGGATCCAATCTCGGGCTTTAGACCCTTCAAGTACCGGTCACCAACTTAATCGAACTCTTCCATTACGACGAAGAGTTTGACGAGCGAACTATTACGATACTGGTGGTAGGACCTTTTGTGAGTCCGCACGGGTAGGTACTTCCCCGCCTATTTCTGCCGTGAAGCAGTAATGCGTTTCGGTTTGAAGGGTTGGGCAGCCGTTGTAACTATACTTGAGACCTTAGAACTTATCTCAAGGTGGGTGACGCATTTACGTTGTAGATGTCTATGGGCTCCAGTAACCACTTAACACCAGGTGGGCTGTGAGCTCGTCCACCCATATAAGCAATAAAAAATAAATAAAAAAAATACCCTCTGGTTGCTAGTGTGAGATTTGTTGCGTGATGACGGGGGAGGGTTTATTGTGCGCTCTCCTCCGGAAACCTCATCGGAGTGGTCAATAAAACATTACTTATAATTACATGTTTATTCGTGTCAGCGACCGCGGTGGATCGCTGCACGTTGACCACTGACTGGCTAACGTCTGTTGCTCATTACTATAAATGCATAGTAAGCTAAGCTGGGCGGGGTATCATTCCCCTACAATAACTTTGCTTTTATCATCACTTTTCCCGAATAGCATCAGCACTCCTGATCCTTTATTAGAGAGCAATCCCCTCCTGTCCAGTAGTAGAGTCCTATTCCTAATTCCACGCGGCACGGTTGCCGTCATTGGCGTTGTATCGTTAAATCCTCTCTCAATTCCTTATAAGAGAACTAACCCACAGACACAGCCCACTGAGTTTCTCGCCGGATATTCTCAGTGGATCGCGATTCGGATCCGGTGATAGGTTCTGCGAAGCACCGCTCTTGCTAGGGCTAGTGTTAGCAAATTCTCTCAGGTTGAACCCGTGAGCTCACCTATCAGTCCGCGAAAAGCTGGAATAGCCCCTTAAACTACCACCGAATAGGTAGCGAAAAGATCGGTACCAGACCAAATACACCAGTGTGCTTAGTGCTAGGTTATTAACGTGCTCGATAGCGTAAAAGTTAACTTAAATTTGTATACAGTTGGAACAGTGTCCCTAGTGGCAAACGGTCTAACTCCATACAAATTTGAGTAAACTTTTACGCCATCGAGAAAGTTAAAAACTCGGACTAAGACCAAACACATTAACAATCACTCAATTCTAAAGTGTGTTATAACTTGATTTAACCTAAACCATAAAATCTTCCGACACGAAACACTCCAATAGATACCTGAGAGAGCGTTCGCTAGTGCATTTGTTCCGCTAAACAGGTCAACTTGATCAGCCGTGAAGGTCACCACTTGTTCACGCCACCGTGACATTGAAGTCCACGTGGGCCGTCGCTTAGCAACTGCACAAACATACAAATATTCACCCCCTCAAGTTCCAACCCTCAGATTCATTCAACTCTAAGAAGACAAGGTTGAAGCACGTAAACATCGCACTCTTGTACCTATTCATAGTACTGTTATTGTTTGATAAAAATACAACACTTTTATTACAACTGATTCTCGAAATTTCTGTAGATCGTTGAGTAATAATAATAAATGTGATTTAATAAGTGGTTTTAATGAGACATGTCTGAAACGTATTTGAAGAATGTTTTTAATTTAATTATGATACATTTTAAGTAGAAATGGCCGAAATACTTTTTAATAATTTATAATAACCTAACAAGTAAAGATTAGAACAATTAAACATTCGTGATTCTAAATTCGTGTGAAAGTTTGAAAAAACAATAATGGACGCGCGTAACAAGTCTCGTTCGTTAGACCACGTTAACTGGTGGGATCCGGTGCATTGGAAGGGCAAAGCCCCCAGAAGTGTTTCGTCTATGTCATTAGAAGAAGCTGACCCCGCTGAGATCCGAAACGGCTGGCTCACACTACCAGAAACTAACAATAAGGTATTTCTTTTCATAAAACTGCTAAGCCATTACTTATTTTGAAACACTTTAAAAACAACAATTAATTCATAGTTGTGTGTCTTAAACATTTTAATTTTATGAGAAAGTTCACTGAAATTTCCGATGTTTCTTAACGTTTTAATAGATGTGTTTTTTTTTATTTGATTGGTGTTGTTAATTTTAAGTATGTTTCAATGATACTATGTACACAAATGGACTAGTTGTTGTCTGAAATAAAATAAATTATTCATTCATTCATTAACTAATTCAATGTAATTAAGGATTGAACAGATTATTTAAAACTAATGAGCGATCTCCTATTTGAAAAGAAGTTATACGATTTATAGAGAAAAAAAAAGAGAGAGAGAGAGAGAGAGAGAGAGAGAGAGACAGAGAGAAAGCATAAAGATGAAACTACATCTACGAATACAGCAAAATTTCTGCTAGATTTTTTTTAGAATCAAATTTACGTTCTACAGTTTAGAGATCAAAACAGTTTTTTCTTTTGTTTTGTTTTAAATGGATGTGTAGATTTCGATATGCCATGATCTAATTTGATATTTTTTACGTAACTACTTACAACAATAAAATGCGTATATCTCATACTATAGGTATTCTTTTTTGAAAAATCACTCAGTCAATGAATAAATTCAAATACAGCGTTCACGTTTCCCATACGACAAAATTTTTAAGATGATTTCAATTAGTCCTGGTTCAATGTAATGGGATCTTTCGATGTAATTTTTACCATCTTCAAGACTTCCTATCAACTTGCAAATTTGCTCACGTATCAAGGACCGACGACAATACAATTATTTTATTGCTTTGACCTAATAAGACCTCACCTGACTTGTAAATCCTGGCTAAATAATATGATAATGTTAATTTTTAATACGACTCGCCATGGAATCGTATCTTTTTGGGAAAAAAATATCTCTAAAACGTGCCGTAGTTTGAAGTATATACTAACTAATTTGTTACTAATTATTCTCAACACGTCATTTCCGATCCACTAACGATGCTTTTAGTTAGCTCAAGCACCGGTCACCGTCCCCGTTGAACCCGTCGCTTGCGACGAAGGGTTCAGCGAGTAAACTAACCCATAGACACAGCTCACTGAGTTTCTCGCTGGATCTTCTCAGTGGGTCGCGTTTCCGATCCGGTGGTAGATTCTGCGAAGCACTGCTTCTTGCTAGAACCAGTGTTAGCAACGTCCTCAGGTTAGAGCCCCGTGAGCTCACCTACTCGCTCGGTTACGCCGGCATAGCCACTAAAGGCTACCAGATTTTCCTACCAGCTTAGGTAGGTAAAAAGAAAATTCGTTGCTTTCTTTGTTCATGGCAGAAACGGAATAAATAAGCCGTGGGATATGTAATTCAATTATTATTTTTTGCATATTTTTGGTGGACGAATTCGTTAGAATTTATAAACACCTAAGTAAGACGAGTTAAAATCTAAAGCCGTAAACCAACATCATTATGGGAACGGCGATTACGTCATCTGTTTAACGTACAACCTCGAATGACTAATAATTGTTTATCGAACTTTATGGTGCGCAAAACTTCATCGAAATGTACCTATATTTTTTTGATAAATCACAATATATCGTAGAGAAGTATTAATTTTATAACGTGAGATAACTGTTATGAATACCATGTAAAACGTCCAATCAAAATATATAAATAAATATAATTATGAGAAAATATCCCGAAATAAAATTCTCGATCGTTGTTAATTGATTTGTCGTTGTTGTTCGATGCATTCCAGACCGTAGACTCGAAATGAGACGCATATCTAGCATACCTAAAAAAGTGTATGCAAAATTTCACGATTATCGGTTGAGTAATTGAAACTTGAAAGCGTAACAAACAAACTCACTTTTTCATTTATAATATTAGTATTAATAATAATGTAAATAATATTTGAACTAAACAGTAACTAAGCTAGTTATTAGACGAGATAAGCTCGAGTGATATTACAAGGCTTAATTCATCATTATCATCAGCCTATGGCAGTCTACTGCTGGACATAGGCCTCTCCAATTGCATGCCACTGAGCTCAATCCTCGGCTTCTCTTATCCGGCTTTTGCCAGGTACCCTGCATAGATCACTCTCCGATTTTTTTTTGTTCCTACCTATGCTGATAGCCTTGGGGCTATATCAGCTTCTCCTTGACGTGTAGTTGAGCTCACGAGGCTCAAACCGGGTGTATTGCTAACACAGGCCCTAGCAAGAGCAGGGCTTCGCAGAATCTACCACCGGATCGGAAACGCGACCCATTGAGAAGATCCGGCGAGAAACTCAGTGGGCTAAGCACTCTTCGAACCTAAGGAGCCCTGCACTTCATTAGCCAAATAAATGATTTTATTGTAAAAAAAAGGCGTGGGGTGCTTTTCAGGATATTATCAAAATAACCCTTCTACTCATATCTGTTCATAAAATATTTACAACTACTGATACCATATTTTTTTAGTTTTTTTATACTATTATTTATTTTTCATTTTTTAGTTGAATTTCAATTTTTTTATTTGTTTATTAAATATTGAGTTGTCGTCGGTCCTTAATAAGTATAACAAATTTCGAGTTAATCCGATGTTTTGAAGGGGGAGGTCAAAACAATGTTCAAAGATTCCGTTACATACTAACATACATACGTCTGAAGCGAATAAAAGCGTATTTCAAAAAATTAAAAGATTTCAATGCGCTCTTTTCCTCGATATTGATTTAAAAACTCGAGCGTACAGTATGCTTAATTGAAAGGCAATTAAACGTGGGCGAACGATCGATTTGGCCCATCCATATTGAATTAGTTGGAGGTACAATTACGTTACGTGCGTATCCGAAGACAATACGCGGAAGCTTCATACTACTCGTAATATCGATGTGAGCAAACAATGTATTGAGGATTACATGACCTTAGACAGTGCGTGAAGATAAATGTTTTGTATATAAAACTTCGGAGAAAGAGAATGTTGATATACATAATACATAAAGAAAGATGTGTGGTGTCGTGGGACACCGGATAGGAACGAACTTCCTTATTATAAAAATATTAATTTTATGTTTTATTCGAGCTATAAAGTAAATAAAACTGGAGGTTTTGCAACAACCCAAGGTCATTCGGTAACGTGCGAACTTATTGTGGTACACTTCATTCACGGTTGTTTGCATAAGAGTTAGTATTTTGCGAACGAACGCTTTGAGATCGTGGTCAATGAATGATAAAAAATAGATTATTTTTTGTACGTTATTACAAAGTTAAGTCGTACGCTGTGTGCATTACTAATTTGTACGTTATTACAAAGTTAAGTCGTACACTGTGTGCATTACTAATAAAAATCTTACGTTACGGACGTTTTTTCCCGGTTAGGTACCCCTCCGCATCGTCCCATAAGGAACTTGGTTTCAAAATAAAAAACAAAAGGCTTATTTAACTCACGCCCAGGGCAAAATACCCTTTTAGGTAAAATACTTTTTTGCCTTAAAATATATTTTCCAGAAATCAGTTATAATAAAAAAACGTGTGGCACTCGGGAACTGCCGCGGTAAAGCTATTGCATAGCATTTTTTATTAACTTATGCAATTATAACTAGACAATGATAATTTAATATTAAAACAATAATAAAACAGGACCTCGCTATATTAAATATTAATAAAAGCAAAACCTTAACTGTCCCCTTCACACTCATAAGCTAGACCGTGCGCGAGAGAGATGGGCAGACTTTTCATTATGCGCATGCAGTGTGACGTCACGCGACGCGCTTATTCACAAACACTACACAAGCGCAGCGTGTGAATGTGTTGAACGCGAGCTACATGGTAGGCGGAGTGAGGGGTTTGAGGTTTTTTTCGTTACGGAATTTCATGATTCGGTCGCCGCGCTCAAGGCTCGCGATAAAATCTATGCAATAGCTTAAAAATATCTAGCAATTTCTTGTTTGCGAGCCATTTGGCGCCTCTTTGTAAGTAACACCCGGAGCATAATGACCTCAAACTACGCCACTGTGTTTACGTTCGCACAATATAACAGGATTTTTTGGCGGGAATGCGACGAGTGAAGTTGTGTGATTTGTTTTATTTTGTCTATTTAGTGTTTCTTCATGGTTAAATGTGTAATAAACGCTGGTTTTTAACTGTTTAGTATCTGTGAAAGTGCACAAATGTGGGAAAATGAAACAAAGCCGCTGAACGTAACTTCTCGAGACCCTCTGAAAAGTACTCTGAAAGAATCTCAGTAAATGACCACCATTTTACTGAGATTATGTTTCATGCCATATCATTTCATTTCATTAAATTTCGTTTTCATTTCATTTCGCTTTCATTTCATTCCATGCCATGTTTCATATTAATCAACTTCATTTTGTTTCATAATATCATTTTTCATATAAAAAAGAGTTTTCATTAATATTAAAATAAGACTTGACCTAAAGGTCTTAGTTACCAGCTCATAAAATCCCTTAAAAAATATAACAATTTTGAATGTCAAATTAAAATCGAATTTTAACGACTAAGTTAGTAGTAATAGTATTAATCTCTTAAGCAATAATATGCTTACGAATGAAAATTTTAAGTCTTAATGGTCATATCGATAAGCTGCAGCATAGCTAAGCGCAGCATAGCTAATGCAATAAATAAAACTAGTTTGACTAGGTTCATTTAGAGCTCGGCTATTAACCTGGTGGAATCTCTCTTGGTACACACCTGCCGGCTTGTTCTACAGGATCTATTTAACAATACAGCTTATAATGAAACATTAGGTTTGATCTGAGTGAGGGCTGTCAGTGCTCAATCAATTAATCTTATACCAATAAAACTAGTTAGGGTCTAGTTCCAAAAAACGGTTTTTTTATTGAGCCGTAAGTTAGAAAACAAGGCGACGGCACTCCCGATTTTGAAGTGGTTACGTGACAATTAAGTACTTTGAAAATCGGAGAAAAACGTTAACAAATCTTCTTTTCACCAAACGTTACTAAAATTATTCTTCACATAATCGATAACT